TCTGCTGCTGTTTGATTAATTTCACCATTTAATTGCAAACTATAAGTATTTTCCAGAGATTTTTTGTTGTTAATCCTCACCTGAGGATATTTTTTCCATTGATCCCTAGAGTGAGTGGAAGGGAGGGAGGGAGGAACATGGATGTGCAATGTGAGAAAGAGCTAAGCCTAGACTTTTTAAAATGAGTTTCATACTTCCCGTGCTTCCACAACTTCTTTTTCTGTGCCGGCTGTAAGGCATGACAGGCTTTCACAGCCATAAGCGAGCAAATATCACGGCTCAGAAACACACAACTGGTAAACCAACACACTGCGTGCGTGCTAAATTATTAACAAGAGAAATGTTACTTCTGTGGATTAACAGGAAACGGATACGCACACACTGTAACCTGCTGTGTCTAATACAAAAGGCCGAGGGGGAAGACAGCAAACCTGCAGAGGCGCTGGTGGTGAACACTGATGAACTTGAAAGGAGCAGCACTGTGGACTCACGAATGTTCTGCCATTCAGTGCACCACAACGCAAGGTGGCACTGAGCAACGCCATAGCAACTGTCACTGGGGCTATTTCGAAAGAGGGCACCGCCCGCCTGGCAAGAACACGGTATTAGGATTCAAGCCCGAGGATTCCAGTCCCGGTGGAAACGGACGGGGTCACTTCCTATGCTTTTGTCAGTTCTGTGATAGGATGACCCCGTGTCTAGAAAAAGTGGGAACTGAACTCCGAAAGGCTTAGCTTTGAAAACTATTAAACTACACAGTAGCAGGTCCCAACGTTTCATGTTTTTCTTTCTTTCCCCTCGAGAATCTACTTTTTTTTTAAAAAATAACAACGGTATTATTATTATTCCTTGCTCACACCCTCTGAGAACAGCCCTCAGGGCCCCGATCCACTTCCTCCCGATCCCACGCAGGAAAGACAAGGGAGGCTACGCCAAGCCTGTCTGCTGGCGGTGGAACGCGGCCACGGGGCTCAGGGAGGCGCTGAGCCGTGCAATTGCGCATCTCACGGGGCAGGTGCGCCTCGAGGTGCTGG